ATTAAATACCTTTTGAAAGATTTGTCAGTAACCTAGTCCAAGTAATATTAAGGTTTACTTTCTGTTACTTTTGGATTACCTCAACACTAAATATGTGAATAAAAACAAGAGAAAACAATAATAACTATTGATGCAAGTGTATTCTATAAGACAACAGAACAATGTAACTTTAGAAAAGAAAAAATGGAAAATGGAAAGATCTGAATCAATAATGCGTCCTCTGCTCCTCTATGTTTAAAGAAAAACTCAAGTATTTTAAAATTGTAATCTGCTAAATAATCCCTATTTTTACTAAATGTAACAGTACTCTCATTACAAGTATTTTCTGTAACTCTGTTACATGTGGGACATTCAGAAGAGATCATGTCAGATCTCAGAGAGCTAGGAGCTGAGTGCCACTGAGTAAGGGCTGTGATACAGGATGGGGCCTGACCATTAAGAGCCTTGAAGGTAATCAGAGGTCTAAAATGAACAGGGAACCAATGAAAAGAGGCTAGGCCATTTACCATTTACTTAATGAAAAGCGGGGAAGGCCCAAGTAAAGGGAATTTCTCTTTTCTGTAACATTAAATGTTTGTGATCAAAATGAGCAACAATCAAAATCAATAATGTTTAAACACTAAAAAAACCTGCTTTAAAAGGACTGTGGAGATGTGGTTTGCTCATACTTAGCTCATAATGGAAGTGAAAAGTTGAGAAGAATGGAACAGCCTGATGTTGAATCTGAGCGTCCCCTCTGTCCATCTGCATGCACCGAAGACTTCACTGCTGTTTTTTGTAGGACAGTGACGTTTGCAATTATGACTCCAACCCTGATGCATATAGTGTAAGGGTAAAATCAAGGGAGCACATAATGCAGTAGTGGTTGTATGACATCTAGTGTTTACTTTCTGGTACTGCACTGTTCTAATACTAAGTTTAATAACATAAGTTTGTTTCAAATCTCATTTGACTCTCTTCAATTATATTTAATATTTGTGGTTAAATTAGCAACAGTTGTAGTTAAAGTTGAAAGACCCATCCTCTGATAAATTACTATTAGTCTAAGACTGAAAAACTAAAATCTATGTACCCATTAATCTTGCAAAATGAACCAATAACCTTTGTTTAAATATCTATGTAATAAGAAGTCTCCCCTGTGCTACAAACCAGCCTGCAACTTTGATGAATGTGAGAAAATAAGGAAATGACTATTAGGCATTAAAGAAGTATTTCATGGTTTGTGGGCTATGCAAGGACAGGGTTGCTACAGTTAGATAAGGCCTTTTTAAGACCATTATGAAAACAATTTAAGACCTACCTCATATCCATAGTGGTGGAAAAAAAGAGTCCTGGAACTACTGTTTCAACTGAACATTTCTGACTTCCAATGCAACTCTAATGTCTTTACAGCCAAAGTTCCTTATTCCTAATCCTAGTTACAGCATGAACACACATTTTTACCAAAAACATTTACTTTTACTTAATTTAAAAACAAATGTTAACTTCATAATCCAATTCATTTTTAAAGTCTGGGAAAATGTGCACATTTCTTTGTATTTTTATGTAGAGATCCAATCATTTTTTCTTCCTGTAAAACAAAATGTGACACATGCCTATGTAAGCATGATCTAACCAATCTCAACCGGTCAATCATTCTTCAACTTATTAGTCATTTATTGGTTAGTGAGCTAGCAACAGCATGGCTACTGCGACAAGCCCCTCCATTACTGCCTGTTTTTACAGGAAATACAGAAATAGCACTCAGATCTTGTTTCATTGAGACTTTAAGACCTGTGAAATCATATTTAAGACATTTTAAAAGGCCTAAAATTCTGATTCTTTTTAAGGACTCACTACAGCATAGTTTTCTGGTTCTTTATGTACTTCCAATATAACAGATAACACAAAAGTCATCAGATGATACTTTTACATATAAAACTTTAATACAGTAAATAATGTACATATTCAGTATTACGGCAATGGCACCTCAGTTCTTTAAGGTGGGAAGTCCTGGGTGAACATGAAGGATGTCAGTGAACATGAACTGTAATGAATGACACCAGCACATAGTTACACACTTCTACCCTGTCCATGTGTCCAATACAGAGTGTCACATAATAATGGACACAGGAAGCTGAGGAGATTTCACTGACTGGCTGATTTCCAGACCGCGAGCCAAAATGTCAGCCAGTCCCTCTTTATCCTGGACCACCGCAATAACACCTGGGAAATAATGAGCTCTCAGTCTAGTCCTGTTAGTTTTAGACCATGTCCACCAGTTTAAACTTGCCCTCCTGTTTGACTGGCAGGACGTTGATGAAGGTCTTGTAGAGAACGGCTCCTCTCGGCAGCTTGGTGATGATCTTGGTGGACTCGCGGCTGCGGGGGTGCGGGATGTACACATCCTTGGTGAACCTGACAAGGCCGTCCTCCAGAGCGTAGAGCGTGTTGTTGGTTCCCAGGCCGACCTGCGGGAGAGAAAGTGGGGGACGCGATGAGAACGTGTGTGTTTTCACTGCGTCAGAGCGACCATTTCTGGATGTTAGGAAGTGGGACTTACGTAAGCTCCAGGGTGGTACCTCAGGAGCCTCTGTGTTGCAAGGATGTTACCGGCATGGACGAAGTTACCTTGTGAGCGAATGAAAGGAGATCTCTCGTTACAGCATTACAAGCTCACTATTCAGACAACATGTTAGACACTCTCACAGCTAACCCAATATAAAGGACCATTCTGGTGATCTTCTTTAAGTGAAGTTCGCCATGTTAAACCCCCATGTTTCTACAACTTTGCTACTAGATGACACTAAATCCCACACACTGGTGCTTTAAATTAGAAGGCCCGTGCTTTTTTTTTGGGGGGGGGGGGCTTTTTCATGCCTTTATTAGATAGTGACAACCGAAAACAGACAGGAAAGGTGGGTAGAGAGAGAGGGGATGACACGCAGCAAAGGGCCGCAGGTCGGATTCAAACCCAGGACGCTGCAGCAACTCTATATATGGGTCGCCAGCTCTACCGACTGAGCTAACCGGGCGCCCGTTAATCTATATTGTTAACAAATCCCATAATAAGTACTTTCTGACTTCCCTACCCTGTCTATGGCTGTCAGCCCTAAAGACCATTTCTCACAAATATATAGTTAGGGATGGGAATCTAAATCCAAAGTGTCTGCTCCACCAGATGCCTTTCTTCCACTCTGTTTCTCCACCGTGTTCAGACACACACAGAATAGAACAGTTGCGTTGACAATGAAAACCTGCATCCGCCTACTTTTTCTCAGAAAAATAATGAGTCTCTAATGAGATTTTAATTATTTTTGGACAACAATGGAGCTCTATGGCACAGAGGAAGACGATGAAGAGGTACTGAGTAATCAGCAGCTACTGTAGTACATTTATCCGGGCAGCACATGGTTGTCACTTTGAAATGGTTTGACATCATTTGTTATTACCATCCTGTTTCTTGAAGCCGTATCTTCGGCCAGCGCTCCTTCCTCCAAAGTTCTTGCTGCTTCCGCCAGACTTCTTAGAGGCGAACCTCACAGAGTCCAGAAGAGCACACTGACCGGGCACCAGCAGGCCTGAAAGCAGCACAGACAATGAATGGGACGTCACACACGTTCAGTTTCAGCCCTGATATCTAGCAGGCGCTCACTCAATGTAACTAATGACCAGTGTTGGGCTAGTTACTCAAACAAAATGGAATTTATTACTCATTACTCTTTTCAAAAGTACTATTATTACTTTACTTATTACTTCCTGCCAAGAGTAATTAGTTACACTACCAGTTATATTACTGCTATTCCCCACAAAATTGGTAATTGTCTCCTCTCAATTAAAGACAATTAAAATCCACTGTAGTTTGTTAAGATCTAAGTAATGGAGTATTTGGAGCTGCTGAATGATTCCATCTTCCAAACCTGGTTCCTCTATGACTACAAAAACGAATCCAACAATGGGATTGGATTGTTGGATTTCAAATGAGTAGGGGGTGACAACCGAAGATAAAATAAGACTTTATTGATTCCACACAGGGAAATTCACTCGCTGCAACAACTTCAGATACAACAAAATTATTCAATTCAATAACAAACAGAACAGAAATATACAAGATATAACACCAACTGAAACAACAGAATAATAGTTCATGTACGCTATAAAGAGATTTTTTTCTTTTACAAATGTGTCTATAAGGAAGTAAGGCTTTAACTACATCAGTTTCGTGGCGGTAACTGTAATACTGTTACTGAAGCTATTATCATTCATTCACACCTAGCAGCGCAGCTAGTGACGTTAGCATGGCGACCCTCCCGCGTTTAAAACGCACGTTCACAGGAAGCACGGGGCTGCTGGGAAAAAATACACAAACTTCTCTCGTTCTCTCGAGCTATTTGTAAACCGGAACAATGTAACGTTAGGAAATACTTATTTAAGTGTTTTTGATACCTGCTCTGGACTTGAGCATCAAGGACGCCAGCGCTGCCATCTTGAAAAACGTTACGTCCTTTGCGCGTTTGCGTCACATCCGGATACGTTTGGTTGCATTCAGGGCTCCCTTGGAACAACATTGTGACTGTATGGAAACAACACATTGAGAATCTGTTCACTATTATTAGACCCAAATTGTAGCCAAATGCCATTAAAAGTGCGTCTGCTTGATAAAAAAGACTACAAATAGTATTTTAAACGCATGGATATTTGTGGGCGAGCCGAGATGACACTTATATTTAATTTCGTATTTATTACAATGATTGCTTTTAATGTAATACTAGTGTTGAGTATTTTCTTTTTTTAATTTTGTGTCATTTTAATTGTTTGAATGTTTTTGAATGTTTTTAAATGTTTTATCTGTTTTAATGTTATTATTTGTCTTTACTTTCCGGAACAGTACGCTATGCGAATGAGGTTAAATGTTAAAAGACTGGCCTTTGGAACGGAAGTTTAGGGTCGTCCCATGTACGTGAATGCACCATTACCTCACAACCCGGGGAAATCAAACGAGCTCAACAGAAAGACACAACGTGATGTAACGTTACGGTGTGTTTATTACATTACATCATTACAAACTAGAGCTAGCAGCTAGTACAAGTAGCAGTTGTTTTTATTTTTTTAACCGAAATAGCTTAACGTTACTAATGAATTAACTCACGTCTGTATGCAAGGTTTCGTTCAAAGTGAGTACACAAAGTAAGTTAACGTTAGGTTATAAAGCCACTTCCAGCTGACACAGCGTTTGCTAGTGGTAGCTGTTAGCTAACGTTACTTCATGTTTTGGATGTCCGTAGTCAGGTGTATTCAGCTCGGCTTGCCCTTTGTGGTGTTTCGCCTTTTCTTTTTAAGGGAACATTTGTTTCTGTGCCAAACTGCGATAAAAAAGTAATTTATTTCTTGTCGGAAAGTTCTGCTGATTTGGCCAAAGCTATATATAATGTACCAAATATAAAAACACAGTTGAACTGAAATACGTTCTCCTTGGTGGGTTATATGTTATGATCTGGCAGATAACACAATAACTTACTAACACTAAGAAAAATAAATTTGACTGATTTCTGAATGAAGTTTGGTGGGCTGGAATTTCTGAGGTTACGAGAAGGCCTGTTTTTATTGATGCTCTAATCATTCTGGTCTCATATCTCATACACAGTAACTTTTGCTGGGACATGACAGAACATGAACAGCTACAGTGACTCCACCAGTGACCTTGACGAGGAGTTGCCCGTGTTTGACTTCCTCCAGCGGGGTCGACGCCTCAGCCAATCCTCCCAGAACCACACAGAGAAACCACACCGGAATGGCTCTGACGCGGAAATGGCAGCCATATTCTCGGCAAAGGGCAGTGCGGGCGCACGTACGGGAACGGCTGATGTAATGATGATCAGCAGCGATTCTGATGACGATGCACCTTATGTCCCTCTGGCACAGAGACTCAAACAGAGGCAAGACAATGTGATTAGTGCCTCCTCCGCTGTCACTAATGGGAAAGATGCTGAGCCGTATTTGCCATCCAATCTGGCCGGCTTGCATCTCTCTTGCCAGAACGACTTTCCAGAGCCAAAGCGCCCGCTCAGCTTCCATCAGCTGAGAACAGCGAGCCACGGGGTCCCAGACGGCTCAGTGGAGGTGGCCGCTCTCCCTCTGAACCCTCTCTCCGGCACAGGAAGCACCGGCGCGTCTCCTGCCAAGAAGAAACCTTCCAAGCGGACAGCGGAGGAGATCCAGGCCTCCAGGGAGGAGGCTCTGAGTAAGAGGCAGGCCAGGGAGAGACAGCAAAAGGGCAAGGAGGCGCTCAGGCAGGAACAAGAGAGACAGAAAGCAGAGAAGAAAGCTCTGGCTGAGGCTGCCAAGGCCCTGAGGCCTGAGGAGTGCATCAAGCACATGGTGGTGGCTGTGGACCCAGGTGAGGATACTTGGCACTGTGCACAAGTGGATAACAAAATCAGTTTGAAGCCAGTCGTGCCCTGGTGGTGTCTGCAGATTTATCGAAGATGATTTTATATTGCAAATAAATCCTGTGTGCTTATTGTTTTGTGCTTATTGAAGCTGTGTCGTGGCTTTATTGTGGGCTTGATTTGTTTGCTAACGGTGTGTGTGTTTGCAGCTCTCTTGCAGCTGGAAGGAGGTGGGACTCTGCTGGCGACAGTGCAGGCTCTGGGTTGCAGCTGCGCCATCGAGAAACAGCCCCTCCCACGCAGTGTCAGCTGGATGAGGAGGGCTCCCTGTGCACAGGTGATAACACACACACATCGTTTACCCGCCGCTGTGTTCTGTTCAAGGTGAAGCATGAATATACACTTGTCATATTTCTTGTGACTCCTTGCTGTAATTGCCTTAAACAAACGAGAAGCAGCTGAAGTCCTATCTGTTCCCTGTGTGCCTCAGCCAGATGATGGAGCGTGTGTGCCAGAGGACCACGTTGTGATGCAGATGACAGTTGACGACATCATCACTCTGATCCACAGCTACATTCAGGTTGGTGGTCACAGTTTAACAGAGCGACTGACCTCGCTGCTTTAAACACAGCTTGTTCCTCTGATAACTTAAGATCCAGACGTCTGATGACTAAAATCCTTCATCCAGTTCAAATTTAGAGTTAAAAAGCACCAAGATCTAAACAGTGGATGGTAACAATGTGGCTTCACACTGGATAAACAGTCAATGTATGACAGCTTCTGGCAGACAACCACAACGCTGACGCAGGCACAAAGGGGATATGACGCCAGTGACAGGCGACCGGTGAAACGCAGCGTTACCTGAATAAAATTACAGATTTCATATACATATAGAACATAGCTCTGGTGTATATACAAATTTTAATGCAAACATGACATCAGAGTATAGTAATAAAGTAATAAGTAGAAGTATGTTAATTAAAAATATGATAAATATAATAAATAAATAGAACTAAATTCACTTTAATGCTGAGCAGATGGTATTTGTTTCCTGTAAAGTGTGAAACAGCAAAAAACAAATGGCCATAATATACATCAGCTTCAAACAACAACATATTACATATCCAGCAGCTCTCAGAGGGCAGCAGGAGGAGGGGTTAGAGAGAGCCCATATTGCAGCCGGAATAAACCTGCTGCTGTTGAAAGACTTTGTCTTGGTGAGCAGTGATTTATAGCGTCTCCCACATGGCAGCAGCTACAACAGGCAGAACTCACGAGTGGCATCCGAGATCATTTTCCTCATCCTTTACAGTACGGAAAGGCAAATATAAAGGAGTAATGTTTGAGATGAGCTTGAGATTTGTGTTATTATAGAAAAAAAATATCAAAACTGTTCTCTTCTCTAACTGTCAGCTAATCCCATTTTCTGTAAATTCAATGAATAAATAGTTTCTGTAAAATAAATGACCACATGAAATGGCCAATCTTATTACTTTTTTAATTACATACTTGACAAATGAAGGGTACTACATGCACATGTAGCTGTTTGAGTCTGCCGTGGGGACCGGTCTGCAGTTTTTTGAATTCAAGCCATGTGAGGATATTCATGGTTATCACGATAATGGAAATTCACCACAAATGTTATCATGATGCATGATAATATCGTATATCGTCTCATCCCTTTAATGGACACCTATAGGGGCAGACTTGATTTCAACAGGTTTCTTTTATATCCACAATATCTGGAACTTACCTGAAGAGATGATTTGATTGAAGGTCTGTATTTCGGTTGCAGCAGAGCCAATGTGTGACTGAATGAATGAAGTGCGTGCAACTGTGCTGTGTGTTAACCTTGTATAGAAAAAAAGACTGGATGAACGCTTCAAAACTGTCATATATGGATTCAAAAGTATAGAAATAAATATATATGTTCAAAAAGTAAAGCAAAACAACTCGAGTCTGCTTTTATCTCATTCTGAACGTGCAGCCATTTTTAATTCAAAATGCAACACCTTGTAGTTCTTTTAATAAACAAACTAAAATGGCTCCTACAGTACGGTTTTCTGGTCCGTCTCAGACTCTGCATACCCATATCGCACAGCCCTACTGTAGATACAGTGTGAACAATTAGTATTCTATTGTATACTATTTTGATGAAATTAATGAAAAGACTAAATTAAAAATAGGGGTAAAAGTCAGTGAACCCTGAGCTGCTTAAAATGAGCAGGAAAATACAATCAGGTGGCACAAATTGTTGGCTAAATGAACCAATGAAATGAGAGCTGTTTAGGGGAGAAACAGATCAAACCAGGTCTTTTCACTACACAGTTAATTTCCTCAAAAAGGTATATGGAACTGATAAACATACACCTGTTATTTCTTATAAAAACTACTGGTTCTGATTAAGTAAAGAAATCATTTGTTGAAAGTAAGACAAACACAGAATATCATCAGGTCCTTTAAGCAGGGGCAGTACGCTATAAATTAGAAATGCAATAGTTTCATATACACAATTCTGTTCATATTAAGTTTTATTTATTTATTGCTTTATTAAATTCTCTTGTCCAAGTCAGTGATTCCATGCAAATTGTATTTACAGACTGTGTTATTAACATTTTAGTTGTACACGTAGTTTTGTTTTCTGCAGTGCATAAAAACGGTTCACTGCACTCAACATTATTTTGAATTTTTAATATTGTGATTATAGCTGCATTGCAGCTGTTTCATACATCAATACATTTCCTGCTACACCAACATACCATGTTATGCAGGAGGAGAGGCACGGCGGGCCTGGCTCCGGCCCCACTCTGACCTCCTGGGTGCAGGAGCAGCAGAGGCGTAACCCCGGGAAGACCCTCAGCCTGGTGGTCATCGACATGGAGAAATACTTCAGGTAGGGAAGGATCTATTAGGACCTGGATTTGGAGCTGCTGGACATTTAAATTCAGCAATATTTCATTTTAAGGCTGCAAGTAGCAATTACTTGATTGATTTTTGACTTTTCAGAAATGCATTATTTAGTCTATAAAATGTCTGAAAACAATGAAATATCCATCTTTACATGTATCTTTTTGTCTGACCAACAGATCAACTCATACATATAAGTTTACAATGATTGAAAACTGACAAAAGCAACAAATCTTCACATTAGAGAACTGGGAATCAGAGATTTTAACCATTTAAACCATCATAAACCAGTGATTCCCAACCTTCTTTCCCTAAGGGAGCCCTTTTCTATCATTGAGTAAACTGATGAGCACCCCCACCCCCAGTCAGTCTTTGCTGACCCGATTAAACAGCTATCAAAACATATTTTCTGTTGATCAATAATTGACCAATCATTTCAGCAATCCTTCTGCAGTCAGATTGGAGTCCAGTCTCTTAAAAGCTGCTGCAGTGTTTGACTGATTGATTGGGTGGAGAGGGCAGAGGAGACAAGTGGCTCTCGGTGTGAATGTGCACAATAGTGTGAAGTATAGCACTCAATGACATGTTAAAAAAACAACAAGGAATAGCACTCAGACACTGTGTACCGTGTGTACTGCCACCTTAGCATGTGGGAACATGTCACCTATCGGCATCGGCAGAGAGTCGTCAGAAAGGGGAAATATGTGTGAAGAGAAGGAAATGGACACACTCTGAGAAACAGACGATGTCCGGAGTGAAAGTACTCATCAACTTTATGTCCTCAGATCCCACAAGTCACAAACCCAGAAGAGGTTCCGAGATGCAGTCGTGGGCGAGGGGCGAGGGGGAGGGAAAGCGAAGAAGACGCGGAAGAATGGCGGAGCTGAGGCACTACCTGAGGTGTCACGAGTTGAAGTGGAGGAGGTAGGTCAGTTGCTGCAGGAAGTACATCCCCATTTTTCACTATGTAGAGACAAAAAATGTTTTTAATGTGAAAACACTTTATATTTTAATATATATTTAAAGTATTCACTAGATTTTGTAGCTTAAAGTTCCATTAATTTACCTTTAACTAACGAGGGACAATAATCAATGGAAAGCAAATGGAATTTTAAGATATGAATGTATTTTTAATGGGCTTTATAAAGGGTATAAATCCTTTAAGATTGACCCAAAAAGTAAAATAAAACCATCCCTTGAAGGTGCAGTGTGTAGGATTTAGTGCCATCTCACATATGTGAGATGGCACTAAATCCTACACACAGGTTATCCATTAAAACCCCCTAATATAATCTAAAAAAACTAGACTTTTTAATCTGTCTCATGTACTACTGTCAGAACATGGAAAATTTCAGCAATAATGAGAAAAGGTTCTTTTTATAGAAGTTACCTACTGCGGCTTTAAGGATTTAGATTTAGGAGTAAATTAGTGTTTCATAGTGACTCACATTGCTTCCTTCAATATCCCATCAGGCAGTGGTGCACCTCCAGCTTCACACTGGCGCCTCGGTCCGCTTCTTGTCCACCTGGAAGGACTTCTCGGATCACATCGCCATGACAACCAAAGCAGTCGCAGAAGCCCCTTTCAAGTGAGTGAGCTCTTTACAACTCCGCCCGTCTCTTTTCCCTGTCAGATCAAACACTCATCCTCCCGTGTTTTCAGGCGAGAGAGGGAGAAGACGGGCTTCTCCTTCTACCTGGAGAGTGAGTGGGCGGGGGGGCAGCGAGTGGATAAAGCCGGGAAGGGGCTACTGCAGGTGTGGAAGAGACAGATCCAGCAGCTGAACCGAGTCAGTCCAGACATGGCCTCCGCCATCCTGGCAGCGTATCCCTCCCCACAGCTGCTCAAGAAGGTACGCTAATCACTGCAGCCCAATGCTACGATGTTTTATTTCATGCTTGGTCGCAAAGCCCCAGACCAGGTAATCAGCTTGGTGTTCTCCTGTTTAAAAAACATACACAGTAAGCCTATATCTCAGCATTTCATTCATTTCTGTGAAGAAAAGTTTATATTATTATTTAAGCATTTGAAAAGTATTCAGCTAATAGAGCAATGGCAAGCATCAGGGCAAAGAAAACAGTGAATTTGTCAAAAAAAGGAGTCTATTGAGAGTGTATGATTGTTCACAATAAAGAGAATTGTATAAAAAGTTCCCAAAATATCAAAAAAACTAAAAAAGCTCAGTCAGGGGTCAGTTTACTCAGTGATAGAAAAGGGGTTCCTTAATGAAAAAGGTTGGGAACCAATGGTCTATATGATGTGAATTACTTAACGTTTCAGTAGAACCCCCATCAGTGTTAATCAGTCATAATGACGGACAACCTTCAGATTTTTCTGTCAATTGATGATGGAAAATAAAATGACCTCCGTGGCTGACATAGACAATCATATTTACATTGGGGGGACAAGAAAATATAAGAATATAGGAAGTTAACATTTTTGTTTACTATTATTAAAAATGAATGATTTGGTGTGCAGTAATGACTAAAAATACCTTATTGTAATATACAAATATCTTGTTTTGTTGTGTAATGATTCATTGAATTGATTTCTTTTGTTAGGATGGTAGCAATATACTGCGGTTCCCTTTTGTTTCATCATTGCTTTTAAACTGAGTAAGAGTGCAGCCTTAGTTCAGACCCATTTTACATGTTATTTGTAATTCCTGTGTTTATTACTGGCCTCAAACTGCTAACATATAGACTGTACAACTGTGTCCAGACCTCAACTTCAGTCTGACAACCTTGGCAGGAAAGCAAATCTGTTCAAATTCAAGCACTTTAAACTGTCCTGCGTTTTCTGTTGAGTACATGTTCGTTATTAACTGCTTTTTCTCCTCGTTAAAAGCATCATAGCTGCATTTTTAAAAGCAGCTTCGAGGCAAGTGCCACGTCCCTCCTATTGTAAATGCATCTTATAAATAACACACTTTGGTACACTTTTGAATCAGGGTGTCCATTAAGCCCACAAGGGGATGAGTCCTTAAATGTCAAGGCAAACATTTTCAGTCCTATCTAAAGAGGAACATCTGCGAACATATTCGAATAATGCAACTTTTTTTTCTTTTTCGTTATATTGAATATTTCCTTGTCTCTCCACAGGCTTATAAACTGTGCAAGACGGACCGCGAGAAGATCTCCCTGCTGTCTGACCTTCTGATCCGCAGAGGAGAAGGCGTCACCTCCACGTCTCGACGGGTCGGTCCGGAGCTTTCCAAACGCCTCTTCCTCATGATGAACTGTCCTGACCCCGAACAGACTCTGGACTCCACCGTCTGACCTCTGAAATCTGTTTGTTTCTAATCATGTTCCCAACAGCTTCGGACTGTTCACACTGAATGTGATACAAAGTAGTTAGAATTCTGTTTTTCATGTATTGTATATATTTAAGTTTTATGAAATCTTTTAAGAACATTATCATTAAGGAATAATTTCTAGGAAACCTCATACACAGTTAATAAAGGGAAAGTTTCATTTTTTTCAATGTGGGTTTTATTCTCATGCTGGCTGTTGTTCATGCTAACTTTACACTCGCCATCTTTCTTGTAGCATACACCAGGGGAAGCATTTATATAAATGTTCACGTTTTCTAAATTGTTTCCAACACCTGTCTCAGAGTCTCTCCTAAAGAGAATAACGGCTAACACCATTGGAATCTACTTCCTAACATGCTAGCTATCTGTCAGTTAGTTTAGAGCTAATGAGCTAAATCACCAGGATATCCCAGCCTCATGCTACGTTAATGTGGCCATGCTAAAGGAAGTAAACATAGAAATTAGCCTCCTGAATTAGCGATTGCAATCATTAAGGGATCTACTTCTAGGGTAACGTTGTGGCTAACCGAACTAGCTTCTCACTTGTTAACCCGTGAGGTTGTGATATGCTGTTGATTTAGCATCATTAGCTTTAGGTAGCATGGCTATGGTTGAAGAAAAACAAAGCCTCCTGAATGAACAATTACAATTATTAAGGGATCTATTTCCAGAGCTGGAGTAATACAAATGTATGACATATTCCTTCATATATATAAATTACTTCAATGAAGATAAAAATATATTACAAAAATCTAATTTGCTACAACTTTACTCTAGCATGTTCACCCGCTATATTGCTATAGCTTTGCACTGCTGTTAAGCTAGTTGGAGCACTATGCAGTTAGACATTTCAGTTTACTTCAGTTTGGATGTTTTATGTGAAATTGAAAGTTCTTGGGAAGGTTTTAGCAGACTCTGCTACGAGCCGAGATGTAGGTAACAAGTTTGAGCATGGCTCACAGTTAGCTCAGCCGGAGCGCTGCATGAGTCCCAAAATCTAGAAATGAGTTTGCATGTTTCCACTTCCAGTTCCCTCGCCTCAGTCAGGGACTGTTTTGGAGGCGTTTCTGGTTAGATGCCCTGAAGTCACACTGCATGTCAGTAAATGTAATTTAGTTTGAAGTTTGAAGAGATCTGAAACCTTGGTTTTTAACAGCTTATTTTCCGCAATAATCCAAAATCCAAAATCCAAAGGGAAAATCCCATTTACTTTCTGTTGAAGAACCCAGAGCAATGCTAACTTCCAGTTTGAACTATAAAAATGCGTTATCCCTTCAGCATTGTATGAGAAGACTTTCCCATCAAAGAGTCATTTTTCAAAACTATGTTCTGGTATATTTAATAATGTTTGAAGTTGTACCTTTAACAAGTATGTTTCTTTTTATATTTTAGTATCTTTATTTTCAGTATTTAGGCAAGAATGGCCGAACCAGTGTCATTCACACTAATAAAGACACTCACCTCTGTGTGGAACAGTATCTCTGTTGTTCACCTCTAATCTGGTTTAATGAAGCATTATGTTCAGTGTAACACCTCACCCCTTATGTGTTTTAACTGCTGTCCAATTAAATTACATGTGGCCAACCTCTGGGCTTTCTGTGTCATTGGGTGCTCCCGTGTCTTCACCGCCTGTGTGTGTCGAGCCTTGTTTCACCTGGCCCTGTTTGTGTTTTCATGGAGTGCAACGGTAAAATGCCGCCACAAATCTGCTCTACTCTGCTTTGCAGTGCCCACGGCTCATTTCCGCCGCATTAGCAAAAATGGAACCTGACCAAGAAGTGATGAGTGCCTGGAACAGAGGAAAAGAGGGCAAAAGAGACGAATGGGTAACGAGCTGTTAAATGGGCTTAAGAGATGAGCAACATGTCTCACCCCAGGTCCTGCATACAGAGAGACATTGAGAGGTACAACAGTCCATGGTGACTAGTGAGGTTCAGAGAAGGGAAAGGACTGAAATAAGCTGGGAAATGAATAGAACGTACAGTACATAGACCACATAGACCCTCATTCCCGTAATGAACCCCAATTTTGTTCCAGTGATCCCTTAAAGGTAGACTTTCTTTTATATGTAGCAAGGTAATAGTGTGATCTTAGCACACAAGATTTTACACTCCACATTGGAGTTATTTCTAAATAAAAAGAAAGCAGAGCTATTTTGCAGGGGGACTTAAAGCTGCAGTAGGTTATTTCTTATTAAAAACATTACTTTTCATATTTGCTGAAACTTTCACTATATTCTGACAGTAGTACATGAGAAAGATAATCTGTAAAAAAAATCACATCAGGTTCCTCTGGCTCCTCATAGAGGTCCTAATGGTATTTGAAAGAATCCACCGAGCCTGAACAAAAACAACCAATCAGAGCCCCAAAAGATATAGAGAGGATCTGGGTTGGAGGCTTGAAGATAGTTGTCTAATTCCCAGGGTCCCAAAGCATATGTATCTGACGACCTGGGAATGAGACTCAATTACTGTTCTTGGCTCTGATTGGTTGTTTTTGTTCAGGCCTGGTGGATTCTTGCAAATACCATTAGGAGCACTAGAACGAACCAGAGGAACCACATTTTTTCACAGATTATCTGTCTCATGTACTACAGTCAGGATATAGTGAAATGACAAAAATGAACGACAATTATTTTCATAAAAATGACCTACTGCAGCTTTAAAGGGCTGGTTTACCAAATTACAAAAAATGGTTTTGATTTAATCTGTCAGTTATTTTCCTTTCTGGAAACCAAAACAAAGCTTAAAGTATAGTGATTCACTGAGTCACCAGAAGCAAGCTGGGACCAATCAGCATCCTATATGGAACTACTATTAGCTAAGGCACGAGCTACGGCCATGGTTTAATGCCTAACGTGTGTTTGCTGGAATACAACAATGGCAACTGCTAAAGAGGTTAGCGGAGATGCTGCTAGCATCAGTTCTATTAGAACTGGAGAGTATTTTCTCATGGAAAGAAGAGCAAAGAACGGTGCTGAAGGCTTTTATTCATGGAAAAGATGTTTTCCCTCTTTGCCTGTAATACAAAGTCCAAAGTCCCCCAAAAAAGATGAGTGCAGCTTCAAGCAGGATCACAATGCAAGTGATATAACAAATTTCAGTAAAACACCATAAAATAAGTAAACTAAATTTAAGTTTACAGTCTCCACTACAATCATGATTCAGCAAGGCTTATTTCTGGCAGTTTGACTGGATCAGGCAAGAGACCTCTGCCCAAGGATCTTTAGAGACATATCAGCTTAGTACATTCACCACCATACTGTATGGGGATGAAGCCAGAAACCTCACATCTCAAAAACCTAGGCTAATAAAACCATAAAACCATCTTCATGACTACCGCCAGGGAAAAATTTGTTTTTTCAGTCATTTCTGTTGAACTGAATACACACGGCACTGCTGTAGAGGATACTGTACTGCAACATCAGCTGTGTATGGCAACTGAGTGTGATCTATAATGGGTTTTGGCATCACTGCCCCAAAGCTATTGTTACATTACATGATTCAGTAGCTTTTAGTCCATGTAGTCATGCAGGAGGAGCAGTGCGCTTTCTCCAGATACCCTGAGTTCAGGACACAGAACTTGGCAATTACAGTGAAAGATACACAGCTTTGCCCTACCTCAGGACAGGCTTCTCATCCTTTCTTGTTTGCTTTGAGGTGGGGGAGACTTCAAAGATGCCAGTGGTACAGAGTGAAAACAGAAAAAGGGATGGTGCGGGGCAAAAAGCAGGAGATGTGTGTGTCTCTTTGACCTCACCTCAAAAGGAAAGATGGTTTCATCTTTAAAAATTGAGAAATATTGAGAGCAATGCTTCAGAGCTTCACTGTCAGTTTATCTACAACGGGCACATATTCACTTTAAGATTCTGTTTGATGCACACGAAAACATGTAAACGTGGCATTTATGTATGGCACAGCACACTTAGTGATAAGACTGCACTTAAAAAGGCAACATTTTAGCCTTATACAGGGCAACTGCACCATCATATTCTACCATTATTCCACTGACATAACAGGCTCATAAAGGAATACTTTCATCAATTTTAGAACACAAAATACACAAATGCAGGGGTTCTGGGCAGGGTCTCATTAACTGACTCATGGACTGTGGGCCCTTGTATTACACGCTTTTCAGACATGCAATGTCTTTTACATATTCGTCATCCTGACAGCACTCTTAGGTCAAACAAAGTAGCATTTTAACACGGTTCAGGTCTGAACTGACAGATTGAGGCAATTAAAGCCAACACGGACATAACAAAAACTCCAGTTCCTCTAATGGCCACTTGAGGCTGGCTCCAGATGTGAGTCCGTCTCTATAAAGGCCCATATTAAAATGCCCAACTTTACAGCAGAAATAAATATGTTTACAGCCTGGTTGAGAACGTTCATTAGGGGCTTCACTGTGAGAGTGATGAGTGTCCCTTGTGCTTGCGATGGTCATTAATTAAAGATCCCCTCCAGTATCAAGACATACATACAAATAATCTGCTTGGAACAATAATGTGTGTCTGATATATTTAATTTCCACATTAACACCCTTAAAATGTCATCTATTCCTTCTACTTCATTAAAAACTCCAGAATCTCTGAATATGTAAATGTTGTTCATTTCTAAAGTTTTGCTGTTGGACACAAGATGTCTCCTACTTCACTGTAAAGTCCATTCTCAGTGGATGTGCACTGGTGGCTTCAAGTTTCTACATCACACTGTACAAGTTGATACTGGACCAGGACTGACTTCCTAACTATTTGTGATGTCACAAATCCTGCTATTAGGTCACACCCCTTAAAATCAGATGTTCAATGAGCACAGAGAAACTTTCCACTTTCAGCAGATGAATGTGAAAACATCCTTCTAGTGTCAAACTCTGCACTGACAGCATTCTGCACAGTGAAGATCAAACACCACACTGTTGGAACAAGAAACACATTTCTGACTGGAGGGCGACTTTAAGGCTCTCACAGTAAAATATGTTTTAAAATTCATCACTTTTGAGAGAACTCTTCTTCTGTGATATCATAACTAATGGTCTACCATCGCTCCCTTCTGTGCACCAAATATCATGCTACAATTGTGTCTCTTACTGTAAATGAGCTGTCACGTGTGAATGAAGCTGTAGCTAATATAAAATATGCCTACAGTGTGTCTTAATAACAAAAAGCTGTCACTTTAATAGATAAATGAAGGCAGCAATGTCATTTGTTACTAATGGTATGTAGTTTGTGGTAACTTGATTAAATACTCATTTATTTAGGAATGTGTACTATGTAAGCACAATATAAACGGAAATAATAATGGTTTCTATACTAGATTTTAACAGCAGATTGGACCTCAACATATGTGCTGTGTCACTGTGTTCAGACAGAACATGAAGCAAATGTTAAAGGTCCAGTGTGTAACATTTAGGAGGCTATTGTCAGAAATGGAATATAATATTCATGGGTATGTTTTCATTAGTGTATAATCACCTGAATATATGAATTGTTGTGTCACCGTAGTTTTTGGCTGAGCAGTATTCAGTTGGTTGCAATATGCAACTTCACCACTAGATGCCACTAAATCCTACACACTGATCCTTTGAAGGTCAGTGAAATGACAGAAATTCATACACATTCACAAACATTGAGACAAAGATCAGGGGCGGACCAACTGAATCTGAATGAAATATGTGTTCTATGTACCCATGAGTCTCCCCTTTGCAGACATAACACTATGCTAATCCCATCCAGTTTTGGGCAAAAACCTTACAGTTTTTTTTTTGCATGTGATATAAAAGTGTTATTTTCTCCAAGTGTATTTGAATATTCCTGCATACTGGGGTCCATAAACAGTATTAGAATTGCATAAATTGCATGCTGAGACACATACTTCATCCCACCCCTGCATAAGTTCCTCACTTGTGCCACCCCAGTCAAAAAAGCTTGGACACACCCCTGACAAAGACGCATCCTGGCAAATTAAAAATGCTTCCACTTAAGTGAAAACTGTGTGAGTATCCCGAGTCTTTAAGAGTGTGCTTCATAAACATGCAGACATAAGAGGGAAATAACAGATAGAACTGGGGTTTCTGGAGAGTTCAGCCAGAGCAGAACGCACACAAAGGCTCACGGCCTGCTACCTAGCTCACAGCTAGCGTAGTACATCGGCTGTTTGGGTTGACGGACAGCACAAAAAGTTCCAGTGATCAAATCTGCACAACAACAGAGACACTTTCCACAAACTGATGGTTAACCTAGAACCTTTTCGGGTCCCTGGGGGTCCTGAGGCCCTGGGGCAGTTTCTTACTTTGCCTGATTGGAAATCCAGCCTTGTTTCTAAGTAAACCCCTGATGATGTTTAATTAGCAGAATGTGTTGTATGTTAAACATGACATGCCTAATTACATGTTACTATCCCCTGTATGAATCATGCACTTACAGTATGTTATTTCTTCTTGTCTCCTGACAGCTTTCCCATCTGAAGCACTTTGTGTGAATGAATGTTGCAGAACATAAAAGCATACCAACTAATTAGATGAATGTGTAAATGGATCTACACATTATCATGTTTAGACATATGGGGAACTGTGTGAGTGGCTGT